GTTTGTGACTTGAGACTCAACTTGAGACTTATCAATTTTGTTAAATCGACTGGGTAAAAAAATCCAAAAATGCCGATATTGATGGCTTGTACAAAAGTGACTTAACATTTTTTTAAATTAAGACTTGAGACTCGACATGGGACTTGACTCGAAAGTGACTTTAGGGATTCGAGACTCAACTTGAGACTTGGACTGTAGTGACTTGAGACTCGATAATGATGACTTGAAGACAACACTGGTTAGAATCCATCTTTCTGTATGCCCATTTCATCGGTATACACACGGTACATTCAGATCACATCCATAGCAACTAACGGCTGTGGTTTGTTTTTCTCTGGAAACCTGGCAGGATGAAAGACCAGAGAATATATTTCTAGGGAATGATCTTGTCTTGGCAGAGGGATGGAAAAGATGCTCTCAGATTTATTCCTTTTGAAGCTCCCCTTCCCTGGTTTCACAAGCATAGACCCCATGCAGAGCCCCACTGGATTTCTGCACTGTCCAGGGGTTTGGCCAAGTGTATCTGACTGTAGGACAGTCACTGTTTAGAGGGATCGAAAGGAGTCCCATGCATTGCGGGTGTGCCACCTTCTGGTTGGGTTTGGGAATTAGCTTTCACATCGTCTAGCGCCCCCTGCTGCCCGTGGTTTGCACCGTGGCCCCTCTCTCAGCATTTGGCCTCCCTCTGGGTCCCAATAGAACCCCATTTTTCCTGGCTGGAAATTTCCAGATGCTATCTCAGATGATCTCCAGTTCCAAGTCTCCAGGTCCTGGACCACTTCCCAGTGCCAGGTAGGGGAGCCTGGGTGCACCCCCAACTCCACGTTCCAGCCCAGGTACCCTCCAAGCTAGGTCTGCTCAGTCTCCGATCCTGTTGTTTCTTCCATGGGCACCTTCCTAACCCCTAGGCACCGACACTGGACGCGCTCTGGGGCTGGAGCACCCATGGGGGAAGCACCCACTGGCAGCCAAGCATCCCCTCCCCCAGCACCTCTCATCTTCTGGTGGCCCCCTCCTCCTCCCAGCACCATTCCGGAGGCTCCGGGAGGAAGGAGAAGTGGGGACGTGGTGTGCTCAGGGGAAGAGGCAGGGAAGAGGTGAATGAAGACTTGGGGGAGGGGGTGGAATGGGTGCAAGGGGCGGTAAGAGGCTGGGCAGGGATAGAGACTTGGGGGAGGGGGTGGAATGGGTAAGCAGGGTCAGAGGCAGGAAGGCCTAACTCCATGCCTCTTTCCGAGATTACCCCTAGAAATTCCTCTGCTCCCCATGGCTATTTCATCCTCATCGCTCCCCAGTCCAGGAGAAGACCTCAGGGCCGACCATCTCCTCCTCCTTCCTAGCCAGCTCTCCCTCCCATTCCCTGCAACCTCTTCCTGCTGTCTCCCCCTGGATGACACTTAGCCAACCCCTCCGCCAGCTGAGCTGAATCCGCCATTAGGCCTTTTCATCCTCTGAGTCTCCTCTAGCTACAGCATTTAAGGTTAACTGATCCCCTCCGACCTCATTAATCTGCTCAGAGCTTGCCTCAGGCAGACACCCCATCCCGTAGCTATTGCATATTTAGCTGGCTTCCATGCCTCCACAAACCTTCTCGCGCCAAGGATGCCACCATCGGCTAACTGTGACCTTTTCCTTTCCAAGGACTTCCTGCAAATCAAGAGCAACAGCAGCAATAATTCAATGGTGCATTCAGCTCTGGGGTGTGTTGGTGCCCAGTCCCCATTGCCACATGCGTCCGAGGGCAGCATCCGATCCCACGTACATAGGAGGGGAAACAACCCACAAGCTGCCGTCCCCATCAACTGCGATTTCATTACACAGGCAATCCAGCGCAGAACCGACCGAATTAGATCCGCAGAAGCTTCTTTGACACATTTCTCTTATCAATTCCAAAAACAATTTTTTTCTACGCTTCTGCCAAGTTCTGCAACAGAGGGTGGGGGAAGATTCTCCCAGGACATCTTCCCATGGGGAGACACACTGCTTGTTCGAATCGAATTCAGACACTCAACACAGAGCGTAGGTGCTGCAGCGTGAGGCAGCCAGCTGTTTGAGCCAACGTAGCAACCCTATTTTTAGTGTACTAGCTCCATCTGAGCTAGCATAGGTGTGTCTTCCTCAGCTGGCAATTACCCCGCTAGTTTTAAGTATAGGGACAGATGGTCAGAGAACACTAATAAAGTGCACCCATGCCCTGAGATTGCAGGGCATCTTCCCAAGAGACCGGTACTTGTGTAACACTACTGCCTAGTAGCTCCGGGCATAATCCACCACCTCATTGTGGTAGGCACGGCACAGACAGGATAAACGGACAGTGACTGCCCCAAAAAGCTACAAATCCAAAGAGAAGGAATTTCACTCCCCGGTTAAACCTGTGCTACAAAAGGCATTCTTGGCTGAATGCCTCTTCCCTGCAAAGAGCAAGATGTGTGATGCTTATAAGCAGCCCCCGGGATGTTTTTCAGGGGAAAAGGCAATACGCCGCCTTTATTAAAAATACATGAAAAGCAGCATATGCATTCACTCACTCTCTCTCTCTCACACAGACACACACACACACACACACACACACACACAGGCAACTGGTGAGGGAGATTCAGGGGGGGCACCCGCCACGTGACCTGAGGAAGAGCCAGGACAGCACCCCTGGACTCCAGGCCCCACCCCTCTCTGTTCTTGCTCCAGTCTGCCCTGCCCCGGCCGCTTTGCTCTGTTTCCTGCTGGGGAGTGCGGGGGCAGTCCCTCCCCAAGCAAGTGGCCAGGAGAGCAAAGCATGCTGAGACTGCTGACAGCGAGGGTAGGGTTCCAAACCCCTGCTGTGAGTGCCACCCCTCCATCCCCACTAGCCACGCCCCTGGCAGTAGGCCGCCCCTTTCTGCTCCCGCCTATGGCGTTTTGCTGTGGAACTCTGGGTTCAGTCCCACAAAGCCTCAAAGCATCGGATCGGGACTGAGCGCGCCCAGGTCCTCCCTCCGGTTCAGTGTAACTGGCCATGAGATCGACTCGGGCCACAACAGATACCCCCTTGTGCCTCCCACGCGTTGCTCCTGAGCGCATGCACACAGAGGTCCTGGAGATGGCCTTGTAGTTACCAGTCTCTTGTGGCTCCCGCCCGCCGGGCGCGGTCTGTCCCAGTCTGATGCTCTGAGGCTTGGTGAGACTGAACCCAGAGTTCCACAGCGAAACCCCCACTTTGGTACGTATTTGAGTCCATGTCATGCTGCCATTGGAAATCCTGAAGTGGTGTCAATCTTGGTGTTTTCAGCTGTTAATTGTTTGATGGAGATTGTCGCGTTTCCCATCGTTCTCTCTTACTTATTGTCTTGCCTTCGGGGGTCTTTGCCTCATCTCCAAGGTTGTCAGTTCTGCTAACTCGCCTAGCATCAGACACAATGGATGTTTTCTGATTGTCTCCTGACGTCTCACTTCTTTCTTGACCCTCTGGACATTTGTGATGGCTTTCACATGTATGCACACATCCTTCACTCACCCCAAACAATTTTACAGAGAATGTCAGACCAAATAACATTCTAGAAAGGATGATATAGCTACTTAGGAAATTACAAAAGAACCTCGTATATCTTCATTTGCAGTGCAGGTGAGAAGCACAACTTCATTTGCAATGCCAACAAGCAGCAAAACCTTGTAGCAAACACCACAATAAAACCTTATCTTAAGACAGGTGGCCATGCTAAGTTATGGTCTTTTCCTGCCTTAACATCTGAGTGTACACTTATTAGCTTACCGGATGAGTATCTACCAATAGTTCAGGCTGCTCCTACCTGCTAGTCAGGTAGGGTGGTTGACAGGGTAAAAGAAAAAAAAAATCACAAAAAGTATAGGCAAAACAGTATTCTACTACTTATATAAACTACTGTCTAATACTTTTAAAGACTCTATTCCTTATACACACTATTATTTAATACTGATTATAGACTACAGATGGACTGGGATGAAATGAAGTCCTGCCAAGAGAGAATGGAGATTGCTATGAAGATGGGAGTAAAGGGTGAATAAAGGTTTACAAACCAAGGGGTGGGGGAGAACATGCAGCATTATCACTCTCAGTACACCAGCACACACACACACACACTCATAGAATAATAGGACTGGAAGGGACCTCGAGAGGTCATCGAGTCCAGCCCCCCGCCCTCAAGGCAGGACCAAGCTCCGTCTACACCATCCCTGACAGATGTCTATCTAACCTGTTCTTAAATATCTCCAGAGAGGGAGATTCCACCACCTCCCTTGGCAATTTATTCCAATATTTGACCACCCTGACAGTTAGGAATTTTTTCCTAATGTCCAATCTAAACCTCCCCTGCTGCATTTTAAGCCCATTACTCCTTGTCCTGTCCTCAGAAACCAAGAGGAACAAATTTTCTCCTTCCTCCTTGTGACACCCTTTTAGATATTTGAAAACCGCTATCATGTCCTCCCTTAATCTTCTTTTTTCCAAACTAAACAAGCCCAGTTCATGAAGCCTGGCTTCATAGGTCATGTTCTCTAAACCTTTAATCATTCTTGTCGCTCTTGACAAAGAATGTGACAAAGAAAAACCTCATTTTCTTGTTTTACACATACATACACACACATGCACACACACGTGTGACAAAGAAAAACCTCATTTTCTTGTTTTTCCTCCCAAAAGCTCCTCTTCACAATCCCGTTAGAGATTCGACAGTGCTGGCTAGGGAGAGCAGGCAAAAGCAGCCTTGGCAAGCGTGGGCTGCTGCTATTAAAAAGTCGCTTATCTCTCGCCCTTGCCTCGCTTTATACACAAATATAGATCGAAATGCACGCTGGCCAGCTATTGAGCAGCACTTGCAGGTACTCGGCCACGCTTGTTCCCTGAGAAGTGCCTGCGCTGTTCTTCAAGTCTTTGTAGTATTTTTAGCTGAGTTGGCACTGGCAAGGTTCACATGAGAACAGCCCCAGCCTGATAAGCCTATAAAAGATCAGTGAACCACCAGCCTTCGCCTGACCTTGGCAGACGGTAGCGAGACCCGGACGCGGAGCGAGAAGCCCTTTGGAGGTAAGTAAAACCAATTATTTCTAGCCCTCTGCGTCCACGTAAGACGGCAGCTCACTTGCCCATCCTCAAAGAGGGGGACCTGGCTATATAGACAAATGAGCAGAGGCCAGACTTGTTCTCTATCATTTGCTAAGCCTAAGGCTGGGCTTTCAGGCACTGTCCTGTATTTCTTTTTCTGTGCTGCATCGGTTGGTGCTGTTCTGACAGACAAGTTCCCACGGCATCAAGGCTGCTTGGCTTTGCACCTCTCAGAAGGTTTCTGCATTGAATTATCGCTCCCCACACCACTGACTCCAAGTTTGTTGCACCCTGGGGGGGAGGGGCTCTCTTCTGCCTGCAGGCCAGAGCTCGCTGTTACTCCACAGGCAGACGCCCAGTGAGAGAGGACTCTGCCTCTTGGCTTGAGCTCTGGGAGTCTCCGATGGGTTTTCTGTTCACTAGATGCATGTCGAAACGGCCTCAGCTACGACCCATCCCATGGCACAGAGCTGCCCGTGACCCCAAAGAGCAGATACATGGAGTTAACGCTGGAAAGACCTTTTTCTCTCCTGGCTATAGAGCTCTTCCCCCCAGGTCCCGTTAACCCCCAACTCAGGTACAGCCGTGCAAGCTTCACCCACAGGGCTCCACCAATGTGGTTTTGTCCTGACTGCTGGGGCGAGAGAGTTGCTCACCCCCTAGTGAGAGAGCCAGCTAGTGCTGCTTGTGCGAGAGGGACATCCGTGTGCCTCTCCACGCCAGACTAGACATCCCACGGCAAATTGCAAAGCCACTGGAGCTCTGCCATTCCTTTCCCTGCCAGCAAGGGGGCTGCCTGCCTCGGCAGGAAACGAGATAGCCTTGCATGTGGGTTTTGAAGCTTCAAGACGGAGCCCCTGGCTGTCTGCCAAAAGATAATGCAGGCGGCGTTCCCTCCTTCTTTCAGGGGAGGAGGTTTGCCGGGGTTATTTTTCAAAATTCAAATACCAGCCCATCCCCTTGAGAATGCACAAGCCTCTCCAGCGATGAGGGCACCTCCCTGAACGAGGAGGGGGTGAAGAGTTCATTTGCAGGGCAGTGTGTCAGCGTTGTTCTAGCCCCAGCCAGAGCAGGACAAAGACGGCTCACAGCACATTGGCTGTGCGTTCGCACAGCGGGTGGAGACAGGGGCTTTCCTGGAAGCTGCCCATCTACCAGAGGCACCCAGGGCTACAGCTTGTCACATGTCAAGAAGGAGGTTGCATGCCCCTCTCCAACAGCTGCTGACATAAAGGGTCCCACCAGTTAGAATAGTTCCTTACCCACAGTGCAGTCTCCTTGCTACAAACACATAACATGCAGCACATTATTGGCAACCAAGCACTACATTCTTCAGGAAGAATCAAAACAGCAGCTAGTCCCGCTTCTGAAAATTACAGCTGGCCAGGGATTTCTCCATTTAAAAAAAAAAAAAATCAGTCAGAAAATGCCAAAGAATGGAAATCAAAACTTCTTGCAGAAACATATCAGTTTGGACACAACTTGTGCTGGGAGGCCACTTAGGCCCAGGATAGAATCTCTGGTCAACACAGAGAGACAGCAACAGAGTGAGACGATTAGGGTATTCCCAGGCTATTGATTATGGAATGGGCTGGTCTGTCTGTAGCCAATGAATTTTTGGTTCTTTGGCTAAACTGAAGAATTGAAAAAAATATTAATTTTGGGTTGAACAAAATCTGTTTGGAGGGGGTTGGTATTTTTACCAGCTTTTTAAAATAAAAGTGATGTAAAATTTGAACCAAAACATATGGTAACAAGAATCTGAAAAGGTTCCCTTGAAATCTCTTCTCATACTCTTTTTTGAATTGAAACAGGTAGTTACATTTCATAGACTCATAGGGCTGGAAGGGACCTCAGGAGTCAAGTCCAACCCCCTGCTAAAAGCAGGACCATCCCTAACTCAATCATCCCAGCCAGGGCTTTGTCAAGCAGCGACTTAACTTCCAAGGAAGGAGATTCATGTTTCAATCAATCTGAATCAGCCTAGCTAGGTGAAAAAGTTCTGTCAGAAAATTTTCACAGCACTGGGTTGATCTGTCAGTTTTATTTTTTTTTTTCACATTTTTTTTGGAAGGTCTCATTTTTGCTCTGCATAAAAACAAAACCAAATGCTGAAATCTTGACATCTTTTGCAAAACAGAATTCTAGTTTCCCTGTCAGTGCTGTTGAGGAATCAGGGACAAAGGTGGTCCACGGCACCATTCATGGGTTCTTGGTACCGGATTGCAGGCTATAAAAGTAGAGAATGATCCCAGCTCACATCTACAGCAGGAGTGGACAAGATACAGCCCACGGTACAAATCTACTCTACCCACTCATTTGATCTGGCCCGCGGCCGCCCTGCAAGCCTCCACCCCCAGGCCTATCAAAATCTGGGGGCAGGGACATCCGGGCTGTTCCCCACTCTGGCACTCCAAGTGCAGAAGGTGAGGGCCTGCAAGAGAGCTTAAAAACCTGGCCTCTACAGGAACTGGTTACAAAAAACTTCCCCCCAGAATCACAACACTCAGATTTTGGGGATTCGCTGCCACCATCAAGTGCTTCTCATCTCTCAACAAACCAGGGGTGAACATTTGAACCCATCCCCAGGGGTACCCTGAGCTCTTTTGCCCTAGAAGAGCTTGAAAAACCACAAGAGGAAAACAAGCTGCAGTCTCTGGTAGCTGACCCCTCAGTCAGAGGCATGCAGATACACACAGACCCTCCAGGACACAAGAATCAAATCATCACCTTAAAAAAATGTTTTTTTTTTTTTAAATTACAAAACAAAAGATAACTTGGTAAAGCATATTTGGTTGCTATGTTAGGGTACACCTACATTTGCTCCCTAGTTCAGACTAGGGATGCAAATGTAGGCGACCAAAATTGCTAATGAAGCGGGGATTTAAATATCCTGAGCTTCATTAGCAAGATCTCTCCCAGCGTGCTAGTCCGAATCACAGCTGATTCGAACCAGGAAGTGTGTGCCCAGATGCGGTAGTTCAAACCAAAGCCCTTGGTTTGAACTAATGTTACTCCTCAAAAAGTGAGGAGTAATATTAGTTCGAACCAAAGGCTTTGGTTTGAACTACTGCATCTGGGCACACACTTCCTGGTTCGAATCAGCTGTGATTCGGACTAGCACGCTGGGAGAGATCTTGCTAATGAAGCTCAGGATATTTAAATCCCCGCTTCATTAGCAATTTTGGTCGCCTACATTTGCATCCCTAGTCTGAACTAGGGAGCAAATGTAGGTGTACCCTAACATAGCAACCAAATATGCTTTACCAAGTTATCTTTTATTTTGTAATTAAAAAAAAACCCCACATTTTTTAAGGTGATGATTTGATTCTTGTGTCCTGGAAGGTTGCTAACATAGCAACTAAGGAAAACAAATTAAAACACAGAGAAAAGTCTTTGGGCACAATGCTAGGTGGTAAATGGGAAGGGGAGCAATAGATTCACACAGAGTAGTTCAAACCAAATCACAAAATAAAGAAAAATGACTCAATGTGACTAGATTCACTTTCCCCTTACTTTCAGTTTTCTCTGTTCAGTCCACTCCCATGCTCCAAATTCCTTGGAGACATGGCAGTCCTGCCTCGGTTTAAATAGGGTTGCCAGGTGTCCGGTATTCAATGGGACAGTCTGGTTTTTGAGCCCTCTGTCTGGTAAAAGAATGCAGAAAATAACAGACATGTGCCATGTCCGGTACAGTAATTCCTCATTTAACACTATAGATGCGTTTCTGAAAATGTTTGTACTAAGTGAAAATGTGCTATGTGGGATCAATTTTTCCATTAAAAATCATGGAAAAGATGGGGGAGGCATTTCAGGTGGTGGTAGCCAAGTCAATTTTTTGTTGGTGATGGGTCATCAACGTCAACATTAGATATCTAGCAACACAAGGTATCTAGCAACACAAGTTGCTGCCGTTTGTTAAAACACAAAGATAAAGTGAGCGGAGGAGCACTGTGACCACGTGTATTCATCCACTCATGTGTATTACCCCTGTTTTCACCAACTTGTACTGCAGCGCAAAGTAGTCCGCCATTTGAATATTTTCGTGTTATTTCGGGGATGGTCATGTTATTTGAAAAATGTTCCTTAAAAAAAAAAATCGTACTATTGCGAAAATTGCGAAAACGTGTTAAGCGGGCACGTGTTAAACGAGTAGAATCATAGAATAATTACTGTATTTTCTGGTTTTCCGACTTGGCGCCCAATGGAAGCCTGGTGGGGGCGGGGGGAGTGGCTGGGAGGTGGGGCGTGATTGGCGCTGAGAGCCTCTGGTTGCGTCTGACGTAGGAGTGATGCCCTGGGGAGGAGAAGCCCTGTCCATGCTCCTGAGCGCTGTTCAAGTGCATTGTGGACCCGTAGCCGGACTAGCTTGTGCTTCACCGGGACTGTGCGTGGGACAGGCAGCGCCCTAGGGTCTGCATGTGCCCGGGTCAGTCCCACTCCCTGCCGGCCGATTCTCTCTCCCCCCGACCCCTCCTAGCC